AAGTGTATGAGACTGTGCAGTTGATCTACAATGCAGCTTTGAGTTCTTTTTCAGCTGTCCCCATCTCCATTGCTTGTTTGGTTTCTAGGTGCCCTTCCTTGTTCCTTCGCTTGTGTTATGATTTTCACCCAGGCAAAGTGGAGACCAGCTATAGGGATGGTGAGGGATACCACCAGGAGACATGCCACCTGAAAGTACAGGCCAGTGTGGCTCCACCTGTCACTCTTCAAAGTCGGGGCAATCAACAGCAAGGATGGACTTCTGCCTCAGGGCTCTCACTTCTCCACATCCACCTGGCTTGGTTTCTGGTGCAAAAGTGCTCAAATTGCTGAAATTAAAATGGTTGTTATTTTCACCTCTCTTCCTCCTGCCATCTCTCCTCTGCCTTCAAGTTTATGTGTCTCAAGAGAAGGTAATTTGTGGGGCGCCTGGGTGGCTCAGTTGGTTAAGCATCTGACTTCAGCTCAGGTCATGATCTTCTGGTCCATGAGTTCAAGCCCTGCATCAGGCTGTGTGCTGACAGCTGAGAACCTGGTGCCTGCTTTGGATTCTCTGTCTCTCTGCCTGCCTCTCTCTGCCTGCCTGTCTGTCTGTCTGTCTCTCTCTCTCTCTCAAAAATAAATAAACATTTAAAATTTTTTTTAAAAAAGAGAAGGTAATTTGCTTTTGCAGACAACTGCCAGTAGCCTATTCCCCTTTTTGGTACATAGCTCTCGTACACACCAGAAATCTTCTCAGAAGTCCTGAGTATACAGGTGTTGCTTTATTGGTTGGCATACAAGGATGTGTGAGCTTATCTGTGTTTAACGTGCACTTAGCAAACCAGACTATGGTCTGTGGCATCAGTGAAGGGAATAGATGTTCAACCGGACTCATTCTGGATCAAAGCAGCCTATGCCCAGAGTAGTGGATAGATTCCATCTTTTATGGCGGCTTCAGTCAATCACCCAAGGGCTATATGGAGAAGGATTCTGAGGCCACATGTGGCATAGCACCAGAAAGTGCTGTGATCAGTTGACAATGTCTGCCAGACTCACACGAACAGGGTGTGACGATCCTTGGATTCTCTCTTCGACAACTCTTTCCTGAGTTGCGTAATGCCGTTGGCGCATACAAGATCCACAGGACTCAGGAAATTTTATGTAAATCGGGTTTTACTTGCATAATAGAAACAGAGCCCTTTAGTTTTGCCAAAGGATTGAAGAATGGCAGGAGTTAGGGGGGGCGCAGGGGGTGGGCAGCTTCACGGCTACAATCCAGACACCTCGACCACAGTCATAGGCTCTTATTGGTCAGAGTTCGTCAGTCAGTTTTGTCTAGGTATACAACACGCAGAGAATGATGGTCATGAGTTCATAGTATATGATTTACTTATCAGAGTAACTCCAGGGCCCCACTTTTGGGATGGCAGTATTCAGCGTTTCCCAGTGTCCCACAGATCTAGGGCAAGTCTGTTAGTACGCTATATGTTCATAATGGACCTACAGCCTTGGCCGTTGGCCATAAATGCCACACCACAGAACTGTATATGTGGAGAGGATGTTTTTATTTTAACTCGAATGCTCAGAGGTTTGCCTTGTGGCAAGGAGCCTGAAGTCATATTGAGTACGGCTCATGGAGCACCTTCTGACTCTTCCATCAGGAGATGGTTGGTCTGACTGCCCCAAGTGGGAGGAAGAAAACCACAAGTTCTTACAAAAATATTTTCATTGCAATTAACTTTTAATGTCTTGAGCCTGCATTTACTGACTTACTTTGGTTTCTTCATGTCTGTCAGTGAAAGGAAGAGAGTAAGCAAGATCCGTGCAGAAACATTTCCTCCTCAAAATTGCACATACATGAAGTGGTAACAGAGCTGCCCCTTCTACAAAAAAGAATCATTTTCTTCCAAATGATTTTTGACTGAGTGTTGCTTTTTAGCATTCTAACCATTTAACAAATATTTATTGAGCTCCTGCAGCGTGCCAGGCACTGTTCTGGACCCTGGGGATGTAATAACAAAACCAAACCGAAGAGTATCCCGGCCTGCAAGGAGCTTACTATTTGTTTCCTTTCATTATTTCATAGAGTTATATGGACGGTATTAGTTGTTTATTACAGTGGTAATACCTTTTCTTAGCGGATTTTGAAAGATTGGTTTTTTCCTTAGTCCTGTTTTCAGTGGGGTTCTGATGTAGCATTTTGTTTTGTTGGAGTTGGAAGAGTAGTTTGTAATGGGAGTTCTCATTGGTTCTAGCTTCTTTTCTCTATCCCAAGGAGTAAGCTTCTAGAGAAGAATCAGCATTTCGTGTCAGTTTTTTCAATGGCTTCCTTCTACTTAGAGTGCCTATCATTCTGGATTGCATGCCGATCGCACACATGTAAGGGAAACAGCTGTTATGCTGTTTCAAAGATATAGATATAAGTTCTTTCTCCTTCATAAGGCAGGATTTCTTGACCTTGATGCTGTTAACATCTGGGGCCAGTTAATTCTTTGTTATTGGAGGCTGTCCTGTTCATTGTAGAATGTTTATCAGCAGCATTCTTGGCCTCTACCGACTGGGTACCAGTAGTACCTCTTATCCCTGAGTTGTAACAACCGAAAATGTCTGTGGACATTGCCTAATATGTCCCTTGGAGAGTAAAGGGGGTGGGGTGAGGGGAGTGAAGTCACCCCCGGCTGAGAACCACTGGTGTAAATGATGTGCTTCTGTGATTCAGGTCTTACATCTTCTAATTATAGTAGATCACTGAAATCCCTGAAAAAGGCGCCTGGAACAAGAACTGTCTTCTGTCTGACCTTTGAACTTTCTGCCATGAAAGAGTTAATATAAAGCGAGCAAGATATTTATCAATCTTATGAAGCAATAGCAACAACAAACGATGAAATTCCTTCCATAAATCATGCCTCGGACAGCGTTTGCATTTCCTATTGGAAATTTGTTAAAATTGCATTTATCTACCATAAGTTAGCGTGTTGGACACAGTACACTGTAAGTTCATCTCGAATGATTTACGTGTAAATGTGTTCCAGATTTGGTGATCTCAGCTCAAGCAGTAGGCGGCTCATTTCCAGACGTTTCCATTCTCAGGAACTGACATTGAATTCAACTGAATTCATTGAATTCAACTGAATTCATTGAATTCAATAGGTATTTATTGAAATGTGTAATGTGAGAGGACATTAGAGCAGTCCGATGCTGCTTTCATGACCCTGTTCCCCAGAAAAGCAGTGTTCAGAACAGTGCCCCCCTCCACCCCCCACGCCCTCCCAAGAGTCTGTATCTGATGTGGCACTCCCCACTTTGGATTGCAAGATACTAAGAAAAACTGGCTCTTTCATTCTCCTCCACTACTTCAAGTCCCTTCCATTCCTGTACCAGCTTTGCCCTCCCCAGTGAACACGTGTAATTACACATGATGCCATTGTGTTTCTTATTTGAGCCTTTGATTTCATATGGGCCACTTTTCAGAGTTGTGGCAGGGCCATCCATTGCATGTTGTACTTACCCCCATCAACTTGACAGGGTATTATAGTCCAAAGTAGGACCATTCAACCAACTTAACCTTGTATTTCTGAATCCTCCTTACTTGTCACACATGCCAATAGATTCAGAACTGCAAGGTCAAGTGCTAGTGTAGGCCACTGAGAGAAGGGTTGGTCTTGATGCAGAGAGAAAGGGTGAAAGAGAAACATACTGGACTGGAGAATCTTCACTCATTTGATTGCTGTTTATTGAAGACCTACCACATGTCAGGCACTGCATTATAGCTATGACAAAAATGGACAGGGCCCTGCTTTGGTGGAACCCACAGTCCACTGGGTAATGAGACAGGTGGACAGACCATGTTCCAATATGGCGCAAGAGGTGCCATGATGGGGGAAATCAGGATGCCGTGGAAGCACTTAGGAAGAGCATCACCCTAGATGTGGAGGGTGGGTACGGGGGTCAGAGAAGGCTTTGCAGAGGAAGCGGTCTCACCTGGAACATGAAGGCTCTGTTGCACCTCAGGAAAGAATGTTCAAGGCCATGTTCCAAGGCCTGAAGGAGAGCAGAAGAAATGGAACCTTTAAGGAACTGAGAAGTTTGGCATGTTTAGATAGTAGGGCATGAGACAAGGAGAGTAAGAAGTAAAAAGGAAACAAATCAAGTCGCTTCTCAGGATTCTGACTTGAGCAAGTCAGTCACTGGTGGTGTGTGTCTGAGATGAGCACAGGAGAAGTAGATTTGGAGGAGTGTGGGATAACGGCAACTTGAGTTTTTAATCTACCACTAACTCTCAAACATGGGATTGATTTTTTTTAATATTTGAAAGATGTCAAAAGCTAATGGAAATTGGAAAAGTTAATTAGCAGCTGTAAATGATTTTGTTACTGTAGGCTATGATGACATCCTGCAAATATACTTGGACCTCTTAGTTACTGGCAATTTTCTTTTTCATCCGGCAACTATTTCCTAATTTTGATACATATCACTCTTCCTGCTTAAAATTTACCAAGTGTGTGTCTCAAGAATGGGTACCCGTGAGGGAAGAGGTATGATGAGCTGTTGTAGGAGCTGTGTTCTGGCTTTCCCAGCACTCCTCCCTGCTCTTCCTTAGATTTTTTTTGGGGGGCCATGATATAGGTTTTCATTCTAATATTGCAAAAGCTCACTTTATAGAGTGTACACTATTCTTTTAGGTGACTAAAGAAAAGCATAAGAAGTAGTATTAGATTATCTTTAGGCAGGTATGTAGTGTTACAGAATTTTAAGGGGTGTAGACCTCATTTGAGGGAGTTGCTGCCTCGTGACCGTACTCTGGGTGGATCCCATCACCCAGAGCACGTGGGGAACAAATGTGGTTGTCAGGGGCACCGAGATTGCTTCTAACCATAAAGTCTAGCCGCTGCTTTTCTTCTTGTCCCTTACAGGCCTGAAGCATCCAGGGATGAGCCTTATAAATGATTCCTCTTTAATCCAACCACCCAGCAACTAAGGAGCATCCAAGTTCACATGCCTCCTTTTTGTTTCCGGCAGGAATTTAGATAATGGGCTGTGTGCAATGTAAGGATAAAGAAGCAACAAAACTGACGGAGGAGAGGGATGGCAGCCTGAACCAGAGCTCCGGGTACCGCTATGGCACAGACCCCACTCCTCAGCACTACCCCAGCTTCGGCGTGACCTCCATCCCGAACTACAACAACTTCCATGCAGCCGGGGGCCAAGGACTCACTGTCTTTGGGGGTGTGAACTCTTCATCTCACACTGGGACCTTGCGTACCAGGGGAGGAACGGGTAAGAATCGAGCTGTTCTTAATTCTTTTGACAATTGAACATCTGTGTTCCGGTCAGCTCCCTTTGACTAAGGACTTAGCGTTAAGTTTTTCATCAGTCTCCACCCACCTGCTGCCAGATGAGGGGCTGGAAAACAGAAAAAAAAAAACAAAAACAAAAAACACACAAAGAACATAAGGCTTGATGGGCAAATGAAAATGCTGGCCACAGTGGTATGAGGTGACCCCCAAGTGCTGCTCTGTGCAGATCCTGCATGGGTTAGGAGGTACAGCTTCCACTGAGGTACTCTCTGCCAACCAGTGGTCTCAAGCTTGGCTGGCTGACTCGGAATGACGAGCAGCTTTTCAAAATACTGAGTCCCAGCCAAGATCTTTTGAATCAGAAGCTCCAGGACTAGATCTGAGTGTGTATTTTGAGTTCTCCAGATATCAATGCACTCCTTCCTCCCAAAGCCCAGTTAGGAGCCACTTTGCATGGGTAGAACCTTCTCCCTCATCTTCCTGATCGTCAGCCTGCCTGTCACCTTCCAGCTAGTGGGAACATTTGGCAGCATTAGTTTTTGGCCATTGATCTTCATTAATTCTTTCTGACCTTCCCACCACCTTCCATATGACTGAGTTTACCAACCCTCAATTGTATCATGTATCTTGGGGCGCCAAATCTTGGGGCTCCTGGGTGGCTCAGTCAGTTGAGCGTCCAACTCTTGATTTTGGCTCAGGTCATGATCCCAGGGTTGTGGGATCGAGCCCTGCATCAGGCTCTGTGCTTGAAATTCTCTGTCTCTCTGTCTCTGCCCCCTCCCCTGCTTGCATGCTCTCTCTCTCTCTCTCTCTCTCTCAAACTAAAAAAAAAATTTTTTTTAATAAAATCTTATGTATCCTTAAGGGATCCTTTTCATTTTTTTTTTTTAAGTTTCCTTCTCTTTCCCACCACAAGACTCTGTTTTACTGCCATGTACATTTGCTGACTTAGCTAATACTTTGTAAAATGTCTGGCATACGTTCTCAGACATATGTTTTGCAAAATATTTGTAAGTTATCTCATGCATCCTTAGCCTTCCAAATCTTCTCCCAGCATGTGAATCATGGTAACTAGATATTAGACATTATTCTAAAATTGTTCTGTTTATTGCAAAAGTTTAAGGAGATATACATCAACCATTATGCTTTTGGCTTATTTGGGAAGCGATGTCTTACATAAGGACCCACTGTGCCTTTTTACCTGGGGAGTTGGCACTAGTGAGGCATTAGCAGGGATTTTTTTTTTTTTTTTCCTCTGCATGCAACAAGGCAGTGTAGTTATATCCAGGGGACCTGACCCAGAGCCTTGGGCATTATGTCATTGTGTTGTAAGGGATCCAGCTTTCTTTTAAGGTAGGCTTTGCATGAGTGAATCAATGTTAGCACACTCACCCATCCTTCCTACCTTCCCGGAAGGTACCTGGAAGGAAGGAGGCATTCTATGGAAGTCTGTCTCTGAGGATGCAGGAGCAAAAAAAAAAGGGGGGGGGGAGGGCCAAAAATGCACTGACACACACTTCCTGTGCCTGCTGAGTTCTTTGCCAACCAGACTGAATTCTACTGACGCAGACATTGACCTTGTTCATTCATGAATGCTGGGTACGAATCCGTGTGCCTGCAGGTATCATTCATAAAGTCACTGGAGGGGATACTTGGCATTAAACATGGGAGTCTATACTATCGTCAGGGACAATATATATAAGAGACCACCTTATAAAATTTCAAAGTTCAAACATGGCACTCCCAAATGTTGGTAGATTTTTCTGCCTTGTATTATTTTTTGTTTAAGTTTATTTATTTATTTTGAGAGAGGGGAGGAGCAGAAGGAGGGAGGGACAGAATCTCAAGCAGGCTCCGCACTATCAGCCAGGAGCCCAACGTGGGGCTCTGGGGCTCGAACTCATGAACCGTGAGATCATGACCTGAGCCAAAATCAAGAGTCGGACACTCAACCTAACTGAGCCACCCAGCTTCCCACCACCCCACCCCACCTCCTTGTATTATTGGGCTTTCTTACATGTGCAGGTCTGTCTCTCCACCACTGCTTTTAGTGCTTTAATGTCTGTGTGCCCCGGTGACCTCCTTTGACTCTCCCCTCCACCCTTAGAAGATAAAAGTCCCAGTGAGAATTTGCAGGCTGATGCAGGGAGAGAGAGGGAGAATGGAAGTATCCATCCCCCTGTGCCTTGTCTTCTACACAATGGAGCTTGGGTTTGTTTTCAAATTATGTAACAAAAGGAATCTGTTAACGGAGTGTTCAGTGAGAACAGGCATGACCTACAGGCTTCCACTTCTTTGTTTAAGCCAGTCTTCTCTTCCAACCTTTCAAAGAAATCTAAAGTTGCCAAACGAGCCCTGCTGCTGTGCATGGTCAGACCTTCTGAATACCAGTTCTCCTACTGGGAAACCCCACTTGGGATGAGGTGGAAAGACAAGCCCCCACCTCCTTCTCTGGTTTTTGAGTGGTCCCACAGGCACATCTGTTCCCTTGGAACTACGGACACAGCAAAATGGCAGCTTGGTGAAGAATGGAATCCATGTTGTGCATTCTTTAGACCATATCAGGTACTTTGAAGTGTGTGGACAGCAAAGTAAGAGAGCAAAGAGCAGAGAAATGGGATGTATTAGTTAACGATTGCCGCATATTACCACGAACTTAGCAGCTTTAAAACAATACATACTTACGGTCTCACAATTCCTGTGGGTCAGAAATCCAGGAATGACTTAACTGGGTCCTCTATTTCAGAATCTCTCACCAGCTGCGATCAAGGTGTGTTGGCTGGGCTTTAGTCATCTCACAGTCCAACTAAGAAGGATCTGCTGCCAAGCTCATATGGTGTTGGCAGGACTCAGTTCCTCGTTGGCTGTTGGCCAGAGGCCACCCTCAGTTCTTTGTCGTGTGTGCCTCTCCGACATGGCAGCTTGCTTCATCAAAGTGTTCAAGCCAAAATGGCAGTTCAGAGAGTGGCTAGAAGACAGAAGTCACAATCTTTGGAAGCCTAATCACCTGTGGGACGTCCCATCACCTTTGCCATGTTCTCTCGGTTAGAAGCAAGTCACTAGGTTCTTCCGCACTCAAGGCAGGGGGATGACACAAGGCCATGGATACCAGGAGGCAGGAATCACTGAGGAGGCTATCTTAGAATTCTGCTTACTATGTGAAGGAGGTCCTAGGCCAGATGGGATGCTGGCCATTTCTTACTATTGATAGCAGACTTCTGCAAAGCAGAAAAGGCCTCTGTGGGGAGTCCACCAGATGAGAAGACCTAGGGCGGGCATGAGGAAGGGTAAGTACTATAGGTCAATGCAAGGATAGGCAAATTTGTGATAGGAGAGAGGGAGTGCCCAGAGCAATAGCAGATACCAAGAGCAAGAAGACATCCTCTTTACTGGGGTGAACATTTCTGGACAGGGTCTTCTCAATCCCAGGCTGAGGAAGGAGTTTCCTATCTCATTCTATATTACTGTTACACCATGGGAAAAGAGTGATCTGTTCCTGGGCTCCTGAGAGGAGGAGAATTTGTGTCAGATAAAAGGTGTCTGTAACTGCTGCAGACCTCTGCAAATGTGAACCATACCACCACTGCTGCCCCTTCGCTGTGGACATGACATTAATATGTGTCTTTTCCCAAGGACTCATTCAGAGGCGCATAGAGAAAAGTGCACCTTCAACTCTAGGTTTTAGTCGGATCGAGTAATGCTTCCCCTACAAAGACCAAGGCATACATTCAGCCCCGCAACTCTGGTTTCACACGTGAATTACATCGCCGCATCCTGTTATCAGTGCCGATTAGATGGAGGTTTTGAGAATGAGACTTCAGTGAAGATTTAATTTCTTGGAATTACTTTCCCCTTGTGTAATAATCTCTCCCCTTTTGATTTCGTGTTGTCAGGAGTGACCCTGTTTGTAGCCCTTTATGACTATGAAGCACGGACGGAAGATGACCTGAGTTTTCACAAAGGAGAAAAATTCCAAATATTGAACAGCTCGTAAGTTTGGAGAGGGAAGGGGAAATATGCGTGTCTTTCAGGTTGGGAAGGAATACTTGTGTTACCAGTCTGTGCCTTTTCAGTACCCGAAATGCTAAAAGAGCTCTTGCTAAACTCATTGATTTGTGGCAATGTAACTTAAGAAATGAAGGGTAGACGAACCAGGACAGTATTTTATGGCTCTGGGGTCCAAGGAGCTTTTTGGAGGATACCGTAGTAGCAGAGTTGGTGTTTGGGGTTTAAAGGTTGGCCAAGATCCAGTATCGCCCTCTACAGAGCTGCATCCTCACACGATTGGCACAAAGCTTGGCTGGCCGTTCGCATTACCCTCTCTCTGCCTTGAGGGTTTTTTGGTTTTTGGTTTTTGGGGTTTTTTTTTTGCATCTTACAAGTTGCGCTAGCCGAGCCCTCACTCACGGCTGGCAACAAGTCCCTTCTGTTTTCAAAACTGCTAAATGCTCCGATTGGAGAAGCCTGTGGAGGCGTCTCCCCATAGTGAAAATTTGCGAGTGACTGAAATCTTTATGAGATGGGAAGGAGAAGCTATTTTGCCCACTTGTGAATGGCTGCAATGTGTGCATTTTAAATGTGACCAGTAAGAGCAATAGTTAAACAGACAGTGGGGAAATGTCAAGGGTAAGAGTCACTCACTTTTCAAATTGTACGTTTAATACTTCCACTAAGAAGAGTAACTATAGGTCTATATGGCATCATATGTAGGGAAACATATTTCCCTGTACTTTTTATGTTTAATGTTTATTTTGAGTGGGGGGAGGGACAGAGAGAGAGGGAGACAGAATCTGGAGCAGGCTCCAGGCTCTGAGCTGTCAGCACAGAGCCCGACACAGGGCTCAAACCCACAAACTGTGAGATCATGACCTAAGCCGAAGTCAGACGCTTAACCGACTGGGCCACCCAGGCTCCCTTTCCCTGTAGTTTTTCAATATTGCCTCCATTAGGTTAAGGCAGTGTGCCTGCCAGAAAACTTCAGGCTTCGAAGAAAATGATGGTGTGGTGGTGGGGGTACCTGGCTGGCACAGTCAGTAGAGCATGCGACTCGATCTTGGGGTGGTGAGTTCGAGCCCCACATTGGGCATAGAGTTTACTTTAAAATAAATAAATAGATAGATAGGAGAAGGAGAAAAAGGTAGCGTGCCGTCAGCAAGTCACTGTACCTTAAGTTTTCCTTGTGAGTGCTCCCAAGTGACTGGGGAAGATTGCCACTCCAGGGATGAGGGCCCACCAGCACGTTCTCCTATGTCGCCAGGGCCACGTGCTCTGGACTCTGTCCCCTGAGCAAACTGTGACGGCAGAAGGATCGGCATGCCTGGCTCTTTGTCTTTCCTGAGAGTTCGAGCGAAAGGAGTGGGAGGTGGGCCAGTGCATCCATGTCCCAGAAGAGAGAGGCGGTCCTTGTAACAGGAAATTCCCTCAGGTGTCAAAACCGCCCCCAACTCTCAGAATTTGCCACCCTTCAAGAAGGGCAGGAGCTGGATCCTTCTTCCCACTGGGGGCCGGTAACTCTTCCGGACATGAGAAGACAAGGTCTATATAGTAGCCACGGGTTGTTGGGGTTTCTTTTAATTATCATGTGTATTGTCATCATTAATGGGTGTGGGTAGGTTTTTGTTTTTTTAAACTATTCCAATACATGCAGAAAATTCCACATAGTGGAAGTGTGTGTGGCAGCGGTCACGCAACAATGTGAATGTCCTTGGTGCTGCTCAACTTCACACTTAAAAATGGCGGAAATGGTAAATTTTGCTATGCATGTTTTACCACAGTGTTTTAAAAGCGTATAGTTTGCTGTATTTTCGCAAACTGTATGTGCCTGTGCAGCCACCGCCCAATTCAAGAAGAACATTACCTGCCCTCTGCAAGCCCCGCCCCCCTCATAGCCACAGGAATTTTTTTTAAATAGCACACAGTTGCCATCTGTTGAAGGCTCCTGTGTGCCAGCCATGAGCAGTTGTCTGAGCTGTGTCTCACGGTCCTCGTTTGACACACGAGGAGCCGGGGGGCTCAAGTCCGGGAGTTGCCCAGGTGCACAGCAGAGCGAGCAGGCAGCTGAGCCAGGGGTGACATGTGGCGATGGCATCCTGAGTACAGTGTCAGGTTTGGTCGTGGAAAGGCCCAGAGACGCCGCTCAGAGGGGACCGAACCTTTCAAGATACGTGAAGGTTGGGAAGGCTGGCTGCGAGGTGGGGAGAAGGGAATTTGGCTTTGATCTCTTCCGATTTATAGGAGGATTCCTCATTGCTAGTTGGATTCTCAGATGAA